GTTTTTTTTTTGTGTGTGTGTTTTATTTATTTATTTATTGCGATGCCGTTCTTTATTACTTTACTTCTTTCTTTTTCTCTTGCGCATATTTATGACATCTGCGCCAACCTTCAACATACATACAAGTTGAGAGAAGGGATTGACGAAAGCGAATTTTGTAGTTTTAGAGCGCCTTTTATATTATTATTTTTGGGTGGGATCCGTCAGGCGTCGGGTGCCTGTTTTGGATGGAGAAGAGCGGCTGGGGGCGCATGCAAGCATCCTCGGTGACGCCGCCGCACGGTGCGTGTCGTCCTTTTTCTTCGTTCTCTTCTTCTTTTGCCGTTTCGTTGGGGACCGCCATTGGGGGCGAAAGAGTGCCTGAGGCGGCGGACGGGGGGAGAAGGGAGGTCGCAGCGCCGCAGCTCTCGTGTCACCTAACGACAGAACGCGGTCAACGCCCTGCAGGCCTGACACATGCGTCGCACGGCTCTCGGGTGCTCGAGTTGGAGGAGGAGCTGCGAGGCCTGAGGGCGGAGAATGAAAAACTTAAACTTGTGGAGGAACAATTCTGGGCGCTCCTGGTCGAGAATGAAGAATTGAGGAGGGCCGCAACTCACACAAGGAACTCTGTCAGGGTGTGTTGCGGTGGGGGGGAAAGGTGTACAGGCTCATTTCCCCACGGGATTACAGGGGAGAAAAAGGCTGAGAAGAGCTGGCGTGCCTCTTCCTGTCCTCGTGCTCTCGGAGAGCGCATGAATCTTTTACTTGCGAGCGAGTTAAAAGATGCATTGCCGATGGATTGCGCAGGAGCCGTGAAAAGGCAGCTGGAGCGAGAGGATTTCGTGGGAAAATACTTACTTTGGCTTCGCACCAAACAAAGAGAGGGCGACTTTGCCGATAAGCCAAACAATTTTTTTCTCTCTAATCACGGAGAAGCCTTAGCCACGGGGGAAGGAGGAGGAGGAGTTGATGCAACTTTCAACACACATCCTGTACGAGAGGAAAACTGCTTGGTGAGCACTTACCCTCAACAGGACTCATATGAAAGAGAAGTGGCGTTGCTGCAACGCACTGTTGCATGTACCCAGTGTGAGTTGAAGGAAGCACGTGATATGTTGGAGCTGGCGAATGAGAGTCGCGCTGCCGCGTTACAGGATTGTGCCCGCATGAGCGAGCAGGTGAAGACGTTGACAGAGCACTTGCAGGAGGTTCTTAAATCTCAAAAGGCGTCTTCTGAATTGCGTCTGGAGAACGAGACGCTGAATGTTCTCGTGGAGAAGCAGGCACATGAAATTAAAGTACGAGATCAAATTGTTGCCGAAATGCGTTCCCTATTGCAGCGACTTCAAGACATGAGGTCTTTAGAGGAGTCTTCTCTTTCTGAAGAGAATGAGCGAGCGCGTCAGCAGCTTCTTGAACGTCGAGTTATTAGCGTTTCTGTGTTGTCTGAGGAGTAATTTTGCCTGCCCTTTTCTTCTCCAATTTTTTTTTTTTTAAATGAATATTGTGGATGCATCATGTTTGTACATTTCTTGCGGATTATTTATCGTACCTTTACGCGTATATATATATATATATATATATATACCTGCTTTTACTCAATTTGCTTTTTGGCAATATATATATTTCCTTTTATATTTATTTTTGGTTGATTTGACACCTTTTTTAAATTATCTGTTTTGTTTTATTATTTATTTATTTGTTTATTTATTCATTTCCTTTTATTTCTACTTTTTTTTTTCTTTTTTTTTTACATATTACAGGGCTTCATATATATACATATATATATGATGACATCATTGGTTATTTCTTGTAGATACGTAGCACGTCGATGCGTTACATTTTGTAGGAAGGGAAGTCCAATGCTGCGATACTTTCATCAGGGCATACTTCGTGGATGTACGACCGGCGGTTTTATTTACATCAGGATAGAGTGCAGCGGTATGTGTCAGCGGAGATGTATCTCTTCGGCTCCCACAGTCACGGTATTGAAGACGAATCAAGGGAGGTGCAAGCATTATAGTGCGGGTGATGATAATATTGGAGCCAATGCATCCGGCGCTGCTTCAATTTCTTCCGCTGCCTCCGTCATTCCTCCTTCTCCATCACCAAACACCGACCGTGCGAAGAACGACACGCCGCATATGAAGGAAATGGGGTTTTCGCAGTGCAAGAACATGTATACATGGGAGGAGTCTTCTAAGAAGCCTGGAGCCTTTTTTCTTCTTTCTCATCGCGAGGGAACACCCTTTCAGCGTCTGTTTCTGTTTGGAATGCCTCGGGGATATCCGGAATCATGCGAGGTTGGCTTTCGTCGTTATTTTCTTCTTTCGTTGTGTAGTTCTTCTGTCTCTAGTTTTGCCTCCTCTATCGGCTTTCAGTCTATCCTAAACGGGTTTTTTCTCGGCTCTTCTCCCCAGTTGTGGATGATGAAAGATCTTCTCCCGGCACTTGCCGCGGCGTATTTGGCAAATCGTATTGTTTCTTACGAAAACCGACCCAAATTTTGGTTTTTCGTGAGTGTTGGCCTACAGAACCTCTCCGTGGTCGCAGAGATGCTTGTTCCTTCGCTGCTGCCCCAGCATCTCCTTTTAGGTGCCATCATGACCTCATGTGCACGGCAATCTGCTTCTCTTATATTTTTGGTGTCACGTGCTGCTGCCTTGCAGCACTTTGCGGTGAGCAACAATCTCGCGGAGCTCACGAAAAAGTTAAACTCATTTGGAATGGTGATTTACACAATTTTTACGGCATTTGGCATTATGTACACATCCGTTGTGACGTCTCTTGTGGCACAGCTTGCCACCGTATTGTTTTGTTGTGCATTGAATCTTGTTTTATCGTACCAGTCAATGAGTAAAATTGCGTTTCGGATTTTAAATGTCACTACGCTCTCTGTCGTGTTGCGCGACTACGTGGGACGTGGGGGGATACATCGGCGCCACATACCCACCCCACAAGAGGTCAGCGACCGTATAGGGCTCCGTATGCTGGATGAAAAGGCACGTGATCCCAATGATCGCACGCGTCTTTTGTACGTAAGTCCCCCCGTTAGTAAACTTCGCATTTCTTTTGCCACGCTTGAACAGGACGTGTTGTACGCTTGCTCAGCGGAAATGTTTTTGTTAGCCTTGTGGGAACCGGCCGCTCCACTCTCGCTGAAGGAGTGCTGGCGACGTTGGGAGCTGCCGGAGTCATGGAATTTGTTTTTCTCAAAGCTTTCATTAGGCGCTGCAGCGAAGGGCACGTTCATTTGCAAAAGTATCCGTCAGCGGCTTGTGCTGTTGGTTCATCAAGAGTGTGACTCATTACATCTTTTGACAGCCTATTTATTAGCCTACACCGCACTGTTGTATCATGCGGAAACGGTGGGGGAAATAACGCGATTTCTCCGCTCGTGCAACGAGGAACAGTCGGTGTGGCTGCGTCACGGCGCCGAGTTCCGTGAGGCGCTGCGGCGTGCTGGGTGGGATGTGGAGCAGCTCGCGTTAGATCCCCCGGACTTTCGACTATCGAATCTGCACTTTGCCATGCGCTCTGCGCAGCGGTCCTCATGCCGTGCAGGGCGGGGGGGACGGTTCGCGGTCACATGCGGCGTCGACAGACCAAAGACGGAAGAGGAAACAAAACCACGCATGCCAAAGAAGACAACAACAGCAACAACAACCGAAATGCAATGACTCGGCACGTATAAATATAAACGTATATATATATACATACATACATACATGTGTGTGCGTGTATCTTGCACGGCGGATATTATTTTGGATGCGGAAGGGACACACACACATATGTATGAAAATAAAACAGGTTGAATACAAATAAGGTGGTGCGTATGCATGAAAAACTAGAGGCCGAACATCTGTTTGATTTGTTAAGCCTTTGTTGTTACGTGTTTTTATTTTTCCTGTTTTTTTTTTTTTTTTTTTCCTTCTGATTCTTTGTTTTATTTCGCTTTCTGTATATATGTGTGTTTTTGTGTGTGTGCAAGGTCACGATGATTACGTGATTTTTTTTTTTTTCTTCTTTTTAAAGAAATTCTCTTGGTGTATTTGTATATTCACCGAGAGTATTTGGTGAAATCATTATATCTACGCATAAGCACGGCTCCGCTTTTTTTTTTTTTTTTTCGAAAGACCCTGAACATTTAATATCTGCCGCTCTTGGGCTGCGGTATAGAGGGGTGGTGGGGTGGGACGAAATTTTTTCCCGGAGCCAATTCCATGACTTGTGAGATTTTTTTTTTTTGTTGTTGTTTTTTTGGTATCGTCGTAGATTTCTGCTGATCGTTTCTCTTTTTCACACATGCCCTCTCTTTATATATATATATATACTTATGTATGTACTTGTGTCTGTGAGTTGTTGCTGTTGTATGGTCATCCGCAGCTTTTGTTAGTGTTGCATGGCGGCTTGTGGACATATCTGTCATTTGATTTTTTTTTTTTTTTTTTTTATTTTTATTGGTCGTCTTTTATTTTACATTTATTTACTCGATTTCCACGCATCTGCAGGGACATATATGCATGTATGCTTAGATGCATGCCTTCCCACCCCCTATTTCCCTCGTATTTCTAGTGTACTTGCCGGCGTGTATGGCTCGCTTTGCCTCTGCCTGGCAATAATCCGGTTTTTTTTTTTTTTTTTGGTTGCGTTTGACTTGTGTTTGTGTGCTTTTTACTCGACGGCTGAACATTATGGCGGCGCGGCTTTGCTCTCATGCGTGATGATTTGCAGCGCCCGGTACTTCTCTTTTTTTTCTTTTTTTAAAAATTGAAAAACGTGGGAGAAACGTGAGAAAAAACGCGGTACGCCAAAAAAGTTGTAGAGAAGAGCAACAAAACACACAGAGGGAAGTTCATTGAATATACACAACAACAACAACAACAAAAATAAAATAGGAAGCAGGCAGATAAGGGCAGAGAGAGAGTATTCAAGAAAATTACTTTTTGTTTTTCTTTTTTTTACCGTGCCTCATCCAGCTTGTGTGGGAGCATATTTATATTGTTTGGGGCGGTCCAATGGCTTTGGTGTCGCGGACGTTTGCGGAGTATTATCATGCATTGATCACACGTGAGCCGTTGCCTGATGAGCTGCTAAAGCGCGTATACCGAGAGGAAACAGGCGAGCGGAAGCGCATCGAGGCGGAACTGGATGCAGCAGTGAATGATCTTCGTCATGTCATCGGCATCATGATTGGTGAACGGAAGAAAAATCGGGACACTCAATCCTGCCGCCAGATTACATACGACAAGCATACACTGAAGGTGATGGAGCAAGAAAAAGCGGTGTGGCTGCCGCCAATTCCACCACGTTCTGTCATGCCACCGAGGAGGCGCTTTTTTCCTGGATTCCCATTTACAAAATACAACCGACTTGCTGAAGAAGAACAGGAGTTGCGTCACTGGCTTTCTTCTCTGGAAGCACGCCAGCGTGTTCCTATTGAAGAGGCGTGTTCCCATTCATGGCTTCTTTTGCTGTGCTTTCACCAGTGCAATGAGCAAGAAACTAATGGTCGTGCTCGTGTGGAGCGTGAAGAAGACGAGGAACGCCTCCGTATTCGTCGTGACGTGTTCCGTCTGGCACCACCGGACTACTTCCGCTACCTTTGGATGGAGCGATATGGGACCAAGTCTGAGCCAAAGGAGAAGACATTTTATGAATTGTGTGAAGAATCTCGTGAGGCTATTGAAAATGAAGAACAGGATGATTGGCGCTGTATGATGCGTTGGCTTTTTGACATGTATGGGGTTAGTCTGTTTTCCGTTATCCGAAGAGAGGTCGCCGAGCGGTATGAAATTGAGGAATTGGAAAACAACGAGCTCTGGTTGTCAATTGTTTCCTTGTCGCGCAAAACGTTTGGGCCATACGGGAAGCACACCGCCGCGTTGGCGTGGCACGCAGGGGGCCGTCCTAACCTGATACGCAGCCTCACATCATTGGCTGCGGGACACGATACCCGAGAAGCTGCTGAAAAACTGCGCTGGGACGCGGAAGAGGAGAGAAGAGCCTCTGCTCCGCACGGCCCATTGGAGGAGGCCTTGTATGACGAAATGAATGATGCTTGGCGAGAACTTGAATTGGAGCAGAAAAGCGCGGACGGGAAGATGAATAAGACTTCACCGGAGACTTATTCAACTGCTCATGCTTCTTCAAAAGAGTCTTCGCGTGAAGAGAAATTTTCAACTACTAAGCCCGAACCGGAGACAGCCTCAGTTCCAGAGGAACACCGCGGCTCGAGGAAGGTTTCCAGTGCAGTGCCCGAGGGCGAGGAATATCCGACTGAGGCCGAGAGACCTGTTGCCACCGACGAGGACGGTCACGCGCCGGAGACAGCCTCAGTCCCAGAGGAACACCGCGGCTCGAGGAAGGTTTCCGGTGCAGTGCCCGAGGGCGAGGAATATCCGACTGAGGCCGAGAGACCTGTTGCCGCCGACGAGGACGGTCGCGAACCGGAGACAGCCTCAGTTCCAGAGGAACACCGCGGCTCGAGGAAGGTTTCCAGTGCAGTGCCCGAGGGCGAGGAATATCCGACTGAGGCCGAGAGACCTGTTGCAGCCGACGAGGACGGTCACGCGCCGGAGACAGCCTCAGTCCCAGAGGAACACCGCGGCTCGAGGAAGGTTTCCAGTGCAGTGCCCGAGGGCGAGGAATATCCGACTGAGGCCGAGAGACCTGTTGCAGCCGACGAGGACGGTCACGCGCCGGAGACAGCCTCAGTCCCAGAGGAACACCGCGGCTCGAGGAAGGTTTCCAGTGCAGTGCCCGAGGGCGAGGAATATCCGACTGAGGCCGAGAGACCTGTTGCAGCCGACGAGGACGGTCACGCGCCGGAGACAGCCTCAGTCCCAGAGGAACACCGCGGCTCGAGGAAGGTTTCCAGTGCAGTGCCCGAGGGCGAGGAATATCCGACTGAGGCCGAGAGACCTGTTGCCACCGACGAGGACGGTCACGCGCCGGAGACAGCCTCAGTCCCAGAGGAACACCGCGGCTCGAGGAAGGTTTCCGGTGCAGTGCCCGAGGGCGAGGAATATCCGACTGAGGCCGAGAGACCTGTTGCAGCCGACGAGGACGGTCACGCGCCGGAGACAGCCTCAGTCCCAGAGGAACACCGCGGCTCGAGGAAGGTTTCCGGTGCAGTGCCCGAGGGCGAGGAATATCCGACTGAGGCCGAGAGACCTGTTGCCACCGACGAGGACGGTCACGCGCCGGAGACAGCCTCAGTCCCAGAGGAACACCGCGGCTCGAGGAAGGTTTCCGGTGCAGTGCCCGAGGGCGAGGAATATCCGACTGAGGCCGAGGCCGAGAGACCTGTTGCCGCCGACGAGGACGGTCACGCGCCGGAGACAGCCTCAGTCCCAGAGGAACACCGCGGCTCGAGGAAGGTTTCCGGTGCAGTGCCCGAGGGCGAGGAATATCCGACTGAGGCCGAGAGACCTGTTGCCACCGACGAGGACGGTCACGCGCCGGAGACAGCCTCAGTCCCAGAGGAACACCGCGGCTCGAGGAAGGTTTCCGGTGCAGTGCCCGAGGGCGAGGAATATCCGACTGAGGCCGAGAGACCTGTTGCAGCCGACGAGGACGGTCACGCGCCGGAGACAGCCTCAGTCCCAGAGGAACACCGCGGCTCGAGGAAGGTTTCCGGTGCAGTGCCCGAGGGCGAGGAATATCCGACTGAGGCCGAGGCCGAGAGACCTGTTGCCGCCGACGAGGACGGTCGCGCGCCGGAGACAGCCTCAGTCCCAGAGGAACACCGCGGCTCGAGGAAGGTTTCCGGTGCAGTGCCCGAGGGCGAGGAATATCCGACTGAGGCCGAGGCCGAGAGACCTGTTGCCACCGACGAGGACGGTCACGCGCCGGAGACAGCCTCAGTCCCAGAGGAACACCGCGGCTCGAGGAAGGTTTCCGGTGCAGTGCCCGAGGGCGAGGAATATCCGACTGAGGCCGAGAGACCTGTTGCCACCGACGAGGACGGTCGCGCGCCGGAGACAGCCTCAGTCCCAGAGGAACACCGCGGCTCGAGGAAGGTTTCCGGTGCAGTGCCCGAGGGCGAGGAATATCCGACTGAGGCCGAGAGACCTGTTGCCACCGACGAGGACGGTCACGCGCCGGAGACAGCCTCAGTCCCAGAGGAACACCGCGGCTCGAGGAAGGTTTCCGGTGCAGAGGAAATGTAGTTGTGGTCACGGGAAGAGGTTAGTTTCTTGTTTAATGGCGGTCAGAGCGAAGGAATGAAAAACGGCAGCGGAAGCGCACAAAATTTGCCTGAGGGAAATGCAACCGAGAAGAAAGAAATTATTGATAAAATGCGTTATTTTTCGAAGTGAAGAATGGTTATGCAATGAAGTTCTTTTTTTTTTTTTTTTAATACTCATTGCGGTAGCACTGTGTTTCTATGTAAAGTTGGGCTCTTGGAGTACCACCAGTGTCATTTCCTGATGAAGTATTGATTTTGAGAAACTGGAAGGAGAATGTTTAGTATGATTAAGACAAGCGGAAACACATCATGTTTTACATCTGAAATTATGATAAAAATCGAAAAAAGAAAAAAAAGAGAAAAAACGAAAGAGAACTGTGTTTTGTATGTATTGCTTTTCTTGGATTGCAAAAGCTTTCTGATATACCGGTTTTTCTTGATCTGTGTGTTTCATGTATGATGTTGTCGTAAAGTTTACAAATAAGTCTGACTTTTTCATATTATTTGCGTGTTATATGTGTGCCGCTGCCACGTGTGGCACATCATTTATGTATTTTGCTTTTTGTGAAAGTCATCGACCTTTTTTTTTTTTTTTTTTTTTTTTTGGAGCTTGGTAATGGAATGTTTATGGTGCAAACTGGCTATCTAATTATTTATATATATATCCTGATAAGGAGAACTCTGTACGACAATTTTCCCCTACTTTATGCTTCTTTGGTTGACCGCGATTCTAGGAATCAGGGAACTAATACCGTCTTTACGATAATAATTATTTTATTTTTGTTTTTACAGCCAAACCTGTTTTCTGCAAGTGTGTGTGAGGAAATGGAGATGGCTCCTCACACGGCTATGGAATGGAGCCTTATCGGTAATAGTGTGGCGGTTCTGGTACAACAGCGTGGCGAAATACAGGAGCAACTCACCCACATGGATGAAAAGGGACAGTCGGAATCAATGGTGAGTGACAGTGCTACCATAAGTGGCTTACGGTCAATTTCAGGGAAACATCGCCAAACCCTGGGGGGATTTGAGTCTTACGGGACATCTGGCGGATCTCCGGGCGCCTCACCAAATTTCGAGACTCAATTCCTCCTGCACATCGTGTGGGACGGCCCGTGAGTTGGGGGTCCAGCAAGGGCTGATCATTGCGGAAAGGCAGAGATTATACTCGGAGTATAACAACACCGTTACAGACGTTCATAATCGGAGCGCGCGGCCTCAACATCAAATGGAGGAAGCGAATAACCACTTCTCGGCGCGCGCATCCAACATTGCGGTCACGGACGGTCTTCTTGCGCGACGAGAATTGGCGCTTGCCGGGCGCGAACGCCATTTAGAGACAACCCTGCCCAACCCCAGGCAAAACTCCGGGAACGAGAGGCACGCATCAGCGAATTGGAGGCGCGGCTTGCAGCTTGGGGTGCCGATGCGCCCGGACAGCGAGAAGTTCCCTCCTCCAGGAAAGGGCCGCCAGATGCACCCGCACGCGTATCCGAAGATGGCGCAACGACACCACCCCACCACGAGCGCTTGATGGCCGGGGGCGTGCCTGTATATCCACAAGTCCCCAACCCATTTTTACGGGAGGGCGACGGCGGGCCAATACTCGTACGTCATTGGACAATTTGGGCGACCACATTTCCCTCATTCCGTGAGTTTGCCATTCCGATTTCCACCTTCAGAAGAAGCTTCCGGTTCAGAAGAAGAAGATCTGGATTTCCTTCAATTTGACGTAACCACTTGGATCCCGCGAATTTGGAATGAATGCATCCTTGGAATTCTATTTGGAATTTGGAGCGCCTACGATTATTGACACCGTGGGGACGCTCACGCTCAAATTGTCTTTTACATTCTTGTTTCGTGGATGCGCGCATTGCAGTTATTTTGGGAGCCCATCAAACGGTCCATGGAATTGGGCAGGATTATGCTGCAGGACTTTCGGATGCACTTCATGGTCAAATCCGATCCCGGCATCCCGATCCACAAACTGCGTGCCCGCCTTCACTCGGCTTTTCATGAGGCTGACACATTCGCGAGGGTGGCTGAGCCTTTTGTGGATTGACGGGGAACCCGACCACCACAACAGCGATCTTTGCGGTGCCAATTGTGTCGTATTTATGGAAACGATGCATCTACACGCAACGTGCGCCCCGAAAGGGGTTTCCCGAACTACAGACGAACGTTAAGAGACGGCAAAGGGGCTGCTGGCTGCTTACGAGGGCGAACGAAAGCAGCCCCATTCATTCCACCAACTCCAATTAATTCTCTATGGCATTGCACCGTGCCGCTGACACTTCGTCCGATCTTTCGAATCGCCCGAATCATTTGACGAGAAGGCAATGGAGCTTATTCGCAAAGAAATTCAACCGTGGTACGACGAACCTCCGACATCTCCGCCTTGGGCCAGCTACATGAGGAGCGCGAACGAGGCGGATCGATAAATGTGTGTGCCGTCAAAGTGGGAGCAGAGAATGTCCCTAGCGGGGCAATTTACAACCTTTTGCCGCACGCACGAACGGCCGATCAATGCGGAGAGCCGTGCGGCCTTTTTGGCGGCAATAGTCTGCGTGGCGTCATCGACCCCACCGCGGCACGCCAGGATGCTGCGGTCCATGTTGCAAATGAATCGAACCCCGCTGGACATGGCGATTCTGGGGATACAAAAAATTGCGGCGCGATAAGAGGCGAAGCAGGCGCGGCCCTTGACGAAGGAAGCGGTGGGTGAATTTATCCGCAGCCGGACCGATTAGAAGAGACGTGTTGTTTTTCGACTTGCGTGGATAACGGCGAGCTGTTGGCCCGAGATTGCGGCCTTGACTCCCAACAATTCCACACTGGAGCGTGACGGGGCCGTAAGTTTGGATTGGTCCGTGGCGCCAGTGACGGCGAAAGCGGATCCACACCGCGCCTCGCGGTTTGTCAGGATACGAGGGTAGGATGAGTTTGACATTATACAGTTATGCAGGACGCTTCGGCGCAACGAGAAGCTCATGAATCTTACGGCCGCCCACGTGGAGCGATCTCTGGCTCCTTGGAATGAGACGGCGCATTCCATAAAACGCGGTGCGTTGCGGTACGCTGCTCCAATCGTGGAGAGATGCGATTTTGGCCCACACGTGATCTTGCAGTTGGCGAGGCACGTCGACCCGTTCGACCTTCCCGAGAGCACGGTTCGATATTTGAGGAGGTACACCACAATGCTGACCCGGGTGTTGCCGCTGGTCGCATTGATGTGAAGGGAGGAACTTCGGAAGGTCAGGAACCCTGGCTGAGAGCGGAGGAACGTTTCTCCATGTCTTTTTGGTATCATGCTGCTACCATTACGAGACGCGCGACAAGGACGCGTCTGCTCGCTCCACAAGATGAACGAACCATCCCGCTACAGCAGGTCAAACTGCCCGCATTGAATCTGGAGTGGATCCAGAGCCGGTTGAACCCGGCCACCTTGGAGAGACTCATGCAAGTTTGGGGACTCGTCGGGCGGTCCCCTTTCCTCCGGTAAAGCGCGCGAAAGCTCACGGAGGATTCCAGTCGCTGACGCGCGATTGATGAAAGAAGCGGGAATAATCGAGGACGCTTCGTCTAGAACAACAGGCGGATGGGTAATACCTTTTGGTTGTGGAGGTGAAACCCACCGGTTTACGACGACGTTGGATCGCGTGGTTAGGCGACAAGAACAGAGACGACCCTTACGCGGCGAATGCTCCTCTTTTACACATTTCCCATTCTCTGCCACCTGTGATGGCTGAGGCCGCTTCCTGCCTGGACTTAAAGGCATCCTTTTTAAAATCTCCTTACCGCGGGAGACTCGGGATCTCTTTCGATGCCGCGTGGAGACGGCACGCTGGTGGAGCTTACACGGCTCCCAATGGGATACAAGGCCAGCCCAGAAACTCTCCAGATTATCATTTCAGCAATAGCAAGGGTGGCGACGGTGGCTCACCCCTCTGGTCTGCACCTCCATTGGTGCGTATGGAAGTATGGATCGATAATATACGCATTACAGTGTCGAGAAGCGACGTGACACTGTGGGAGGCCCAAGTGCTTCGTAATGCGGACGGCCTTCACGCCACGATAGGGGAAGATCGCGAGTCGGCACCACGCAGTACACCTTCCTGGGAGTGCTGTTTGATCATACATACAAGGCGGTATCTCTGAGTGACACGTTTGTCCGGTCTGTACGCGTCATGCCGGCGCTGAATTCTTTAACCATCGCGGAAATGGAGGTTATGGCGTCACGCTTTTTGTATGCGGCGGCCATTTTTGGCACGCGTTTATGCGACTGCCACTTTTTCAAGGCAGTGCGACGGCGATTATCCGCACTCAACCGGGGAATTGTGCAGGAGACATCCCCGGCTAACGTTCCGCCGGCAGCGGTTGGTTTGGGCGAGAGATTGTGACACAGGATCGAGAACATAATTGCAAGCGAAACATCAATACCACAGAAAAGGCATCGGCCGCCATCATCACGGATGCATCGCTCCATGGATGGGGAGCCGTTTTTATTCCAGACTCCGGCGACGTTAAAATTGCCGGAGGGAAATGGAAGAGGAAGCGGTTTCTTATCATGCAGGCCTCGGCGCGCGCGGTACGCTTAGCCTTAACGGCCTTTCCCGCCGTCTTGCCACCCACTATGGACATTGGGTGGACAACACTTTGCTGCAAGGAGGGGCGAATAAAGGCAGATCAAAATCACACGCCATGACGTGGGAGCTGCAACGGATATATGAATTTTTGGACTCTCGCGGAGTACAGGCATCCGTTGCCTACGTGCGGTCTGCACAAAGGCAACCCCGCAGACAGCATGTCACGCGGTCGTGTTTTTACACTTCAGGACGTGGCGAAGGGGAGCGGCGGAGTCTTTTGTCTGGAGGACCCCAAAGTCTGCCATTTCTTAAGTAATATATATATATATATATCCATTCCGAGTAGAGTGAGCGGGCCACAATTGTGGCTATAGGATGATGTATACATATATAC